TCAATATATTTGAAAAGATGGCAATTAGAATGATACAACTTGTTATGATGTGGGTAAAACCCTTCGTGATAATTCTTATTATTATTATACAGCCGCAACGTACATAACATACTAATAAATGCCCGTTTTTTCCATTTACTTTGTTCATCATACAATTATGGTCATTATAGCCATAATGAAAATGTTAAATATAATTTTATTTTACAGATAATTTATATATATTTACCAATTCAACAAAAACCTATGGTCTGATAATCACTATAAAGGCACGACCGGTGTCGTTTGTATCATTATAGTTATAACTATAGTATATAATAATATAATGTACCTAGGTGCTAAACAAATTAAAAATTGATATTTTAAATTATGTTTCGTTAATTTTAAGACCGCAAGAAAACGTTATATACATATATTTTAGTCTTTTATTTTTTACTTAACATCGTGATTACTCATTACAAACTGAACTACGCATGGAAGTCCTTAATGTAACTAGATTATTCCGAACTTTATGCGATAACACATAGAAATTGAAATATGTAGTCAATTTTGGGACCCGAACAGTACTTCGCATACAGATCAATAATTTATATTTTCAATCTAAATGTGCCTACGTGTTGAAGTCTTTTTTGAGATAAGTTTTTAGGGATGCTCATGATATGGCTAATGGATATAAAACGGGGAGGTTACATTTGAGATCTAAACAGAGTATTACATAGTAGTGGAAGTCACACTATTTCATACCGGGACATTTATAGTAAATACAATTTTAAGTAAAATTTAACTTGGAGTCTGATTACTTTTGGGATTGTATAAATTATAAGCAGAGTCAAGTTATATTTATATTAATCAATAACAAACAAAATATTATTCCAATTATGTTTATATTCAATAATAGTATGCTGACGTTTCTAAGTATAAAGTGTGTAGGTATTTACAACCGTTCTGTTGGTCGGAGACATTATTTTTTTAAAATTAATTTTTTAATTAATTAATTAATTAAATTAATTTTTTCAAATATTTCGTTCTTCATCGAGCAGTACAATAAAAATTTGTTTATAATGTTGAACAGAACCTGTAGAAATATTAAATTATTTCAATGTGACATTGATTATTTTTCGTTGATTTTTCTGATCTCCAAGAAAACGAAAATGGATGGAAAATCGTAACTTTTATTTTATTATTGATATATTATCGTGTATATATATAATACCAACATTTCTATTAGTTTCGCAATGGAACGCATTGGATGTCGACCCGACCACGGTTTCCATGTGTTTTATCTGGATAACCTGGACGAGAGAAATTTATTAGATTCAATGTAATAATACGAGAGGATCGCAACAGCAATGTGAGCTAGTTTTTCGGAGCATTTATCATGGCTAAAATCATTGATAGTTTCATTATCATCCTGTGTTTGTTATCACTAATATATAATATCAAATAGGTAAATATTATTTATATATTACTATATTATTATATTATATTATAATATAGTATATATAATGTATTATATTATATAACTGGTTTTTTCTATATACGACACTGAACTTAATATTCTGGTCTCTTAAAACAATAAAAATTTGTGTTCAAAAATAATTATAACGATTACAACATCCAAACTGTACCGCAACTAGAAGTGGGACTGGGGGTGATCAGCACTGTCAAGGGGCCTCAACTTAGACAAATTGAGGACTCAAAATGCATAGAATTTATTGTATTGTATACATTTGAGAGAATATCAAGATCAGTGGCACAGGAATTATTTTTCTTTATTTTCCAAATTATAGTTTTGTCCCTCTTATATCCGAGAGATCAATTCCCCCCGCTCCCTTATCTGATGACACTGCAAAGACATAAGGTAAATTGAAAAATAATGAATACTCTAATTCACTGTAAATATTAATATGGCTAATAACGTCAGAGTTTAAATTTTTTATCATATTTATAGATTTTGTATTATATTTAGTGATAACAAACACAGGATGATAATGAAACTGTCATTAATTTCAACCATGATAACGGCTCCGAAAAACTAGCTTTAGAGAGAAGCTGAAGAGGCCTCAGCCCAGATAAGATATGAATTGTAGAAGCTCATATAATCATTGTTTTATGAGTTATTAGTTTCAAATTGTCCATGTTATGTAGTATACCTACATATTTATAGATCTGACAATTTTTGATCGTAATTATTGTTAACGATTAAATTTAAATTTGATACAAATTATTTCATTGCAATTATGTAGGTGTTTCATTTCATTTTATTTCATTTATTTTGTCAAAAAGAGTTATATGATTGTACAATAAAAAACAAAATTGTTTACTAAAATTGTTTTCTTATTTTTATTTTTAATTGGTTTAAATGTGAAATTTTTATTTGAAGAAATTCCCAGTCCCTCAGAAAAAAATCTAAATGACTGTACCCAACAGTGTATTATACGAATGATGCACGATGTTAAGCAAATTAAACAGTGACCATTCGGTGATAGAGATTGGCCTTGTTCGTGGAATGTTATTGTTGGTGTTCACTTATTTTGCGACAAAAATATATGATACAAATGAAATTCCAAACGTCGAATAGTTTACAGTTTTCGTCGAATTAGGTATTTTATCGAAAACATGTTTTATAACGCAGTTGCGACTTTTTTATAATAGCCGTCTTAATTTACTTATAAAAAAAGTATTCCATCAATGATTTGAATAAAAAATTATTCGTTATTCATTATTCCGCTTAAGCATGTTTATCTCAAACAATTCGTAGATAACCTGAAATTCCAACTTTATTGAAAATTGAAATTTGTGTGTTTCCTATCTATAATAAACTATATTCTTGGCAAGGACGTAACTTTTAATGGATTTAACTTTTGTATTTAATTTTTATTTTGATTTAACTGTTGATTATAAAACAAAATTTCATATAAACTGACTTTAATATTTCCGACTAGACAATTTCTTTCATATTTACCACTTTTTGTTTTTATCCATTTTTTCCTCCTTAAGATTTGGAATTTTGGAAAAATTATGATTATTTTGAGCGTAATTCATAGAAATATTATTGAATTAATCCGATATTATAAATACCTTTAATAACATGTCTATAAATATTTAAAAAAATAAATTATAGCTCTAAATGTCATATTCGATTAGTTATTGCTTGACAAAGTCGAGAGTACCGTTTGAGTAAGCATCATGATTCACTATACTACGAGTGCTATTACTCTTTCACACCACATGCGTATAATTCATGTTGTAACAATGAAAACGAGTAAACATTTCAGACTAAAATTGATCTAAGATGATAAATTTAACAATCACAATATTTCATTTTATATTCAGTTTTATATAATTTATATTACTTTGTAAATATAAAAAAACAATTTTGAAATAAAATTTAAGTTTTTTAATTTTAATTCATAATCTATTAATATAGCATAAAATTACAAAACTCCTTTTAATAAAGAATAAAAAAATGCATATTTCTATGCAAAATTTTATTTTAGTAATTGATCACGTAATTAATTATGCTATAAAGAGCGAAGTGTGAGCGCTACGAATTGTAGAAATGTTACGAATTGTACCAACGATAGGTTAAAGAAAAAGCTATTAAAACATGGATATTTTGATTCAGTGATCCAAATAGATAATGCTGTCCATTACCTTTTAAAATTTCTTAATACTCTAAATCCTTATAGACTTTCATCACATAATCTTATTCTTAAAATTGGAGAACCTGTAATGTTACTAAAAAATGTTACACCTCATAAATCTTGTAATGGAACTAGATTGCAAGTTAAATATCCGCCCAAAAATATAATATAAGCAATTTTTATCACTGAGTGTGGTTGAGAAAATTTAGTTTTAATTCCAAAAATAAAGTTCATCCCAACTAATTATCCCTATGAACTTAAAAATATATAGTTTTCTTTCAATGTTTACTCTGATATGGCTAAAAATAGGTTTTAAACAAAATCATTGAGCATGACTAGCATGAACTTGAGAGAAGAATGCTTTTGAAGAATGCATGGTCAATTCTGTGTCACATCTTAGTGTTAGTTTTACCTATAGTCTAGTTATTTTAACCACAAAAAGCTCTATCAAAAATACAGTTTATAAAGTGGTATTGAAATGAATAAATGATATCAATAGAAATATTAGTGATAAATTAGTGAAATACCATAATGTTACACTAACTTTCTTAGATTTGATTAATTTTAATAGATTTCCCAGAAACAGCTATTTTTAATAAAACGAGGTGATTTAATAAATAATAATAATTATTATAGTAATAACAAGAAGAACAATTAAAATAATTTGTAAAAATCTGTAAATATATGTTATAATTTAACTGACTAAGTTTTTTTCAACATTTGTCTTCGAAAAACTAAAATATACTAATTTGTTGACAATTGTTTTATATTGTTACAATCAATACAGGGTAATCCAGAAACTGATGAAAAAAAATTATACGTTACACCGAAAATTGCACACAGGCATTGCCGAGGTATTCAGCTAGTGTCTATATAAAATTAAAATATTTCATTCAAATTAATTGAACTAACTAAAAACCAAAAAATATTAATTTATATAACTTATAATATAATTGAATAATTAATATGGGACAGCAGTTATATACACTTATGTATATATATATATTCATATACCTATATATAATTATATATATTCTACTTCTTTTGCCAGTAAGGTTTGGGCACGCTTATGGTCGTGACCTCTTTTATAGTCCAGTGTACATAAAATAAGTATGTGACCAAATAAAATCCTATGTTAATTAATTTTTATATCTTAGTACTGGCTGTCTGATTTTATCTAATGATAGGTTTTGTTATTGATCTTGCCAACCTTTGTAAGTATAGAGTAAGAATTGATTTTGATTTCATGTAACGAGTTCGATGACACGTGGATGACACAATTTGAAATGTTGTTAGAGAAAGTTATCGAATAAATCATAATAACATGCATTATACGCGGAACTGTTTTTGTTGCAGGAGCTGTTGGAAGAACAACGGAATAAATAAAATATGTGAATTCGTTGAAAATGGTTAACTAATAACTTCGTCGCCACAACAGCCGTCATCGTCGTCGTCAAGGAAAATTCGGTAACTATTGTTAAAATAACATTTTCGTGCATTTAACTGAGAGAGTGCAAACAAAAACAGCGATGAATCTTCCATCCAGGGCAAAAGGTACACGAAACAATCGTTAACTGTAAATACACCTCGTCCCCGGGGTGTAACTCCTAGTGGTATTGAAGTTGTGTTATTATTTATGAATACACAACGCATAGGCAAAAGTATTTTGACCAAAAGGAAAGAGATAAATGTGTAAGGATGTGCGTTTAAGCCATCATATCTTTTTAGATTCAATATATAAAATATATAAAATAAAATAATTACAATAATTGTTAGTCGTTAAGAATAAGATAAGACACACACACACACACATACATACATATAATATTAGATATAAGGAGCTCCGTTTTTAGTCACTGCGATATACGCGTTATTATTGTCTATTGGTGTAGACGGTCAAAATCGAGCATTAAAAGACTACGCAGATCGTCTATACAATAAGATATATTATTTATTAATTGTAATGTTTAAAATATATGTACGTTAAGATATGTTGAAGACATTAAATAAATTAATAAGTATTATTGTAAATTAAAGAAAAAAGTTTTTCTTGCTTTATTGGTCATCACATTTAACACCTCAGATATTGGCTACGGTTTCAACAGGCAAGGATCAGAGAGGTAATATCATTTAATTTATAATATAATAGTTAATGAATAATTGATTTAAAGACATATAATAACCCACAGTTAATTGATGTTCGATTTAATCCATTACAAATGTTTTTGTACTTATGTTGTAAGCCCGGTTGAATTCGAGACTTACATAGTTCATGGTTTGCTCTTGTTGGGTTTTAGTCAACAACTACTTCCGGTTCGTGTCATTTAGAAGAAAGAGGGATGGTAAAACGAATGAGTATCATCATTGTACGGCCCATGCAAGGGTTCTTAACACGAATTATAACATTATGTCAAACAAAAAAAAATAATTACGTTTTATAAGAATATGTGTATCAGTAACAGCGTTGTGCTTTTGAGTGCAGCATTGATGGGTGACCCCCTGTTTGAGGCGATTCGCCTGATTTCTCATGACGGTTCATTGAAGTTTCATAGTACAATAAAACTTCTTTGTAACGGAATCGCTGGGGACCGACTGATTTCTACATCGATATTTGTGTACCTAAAAATAATTTTTATTTAAACCTATACAGACATACGTTCAATAATTCTGGCTTTTCAAAACGTTTCTTTTTACATTTTATGTAACATTATATCGGAATTTTTTTCATGACTGATTATTACGGTTAAAAAAAATAAAAAAAAAAAAATGTTATAAAAAGTTAAAATGAGTAATTGTAAGTTCAAAGCAAAACAATTTTTAGGTACATAAATACCAAATACATTTTTTATTTTTCCATACGTATATTTTATTTTATTACATATACTTAAGCTATTACATGTTTCATTATTTAGAAAAATAATTAATTTGTAATACATGTTGGTTTTCGATGGTTATATAGATAACATTCACTTTGTTGTTGATTTCAACAACTCAGCATTTGAAAATATTTGTAGTTTTTCCAATACCGAAATTACCAATTTAAAATCATGTATCTCTTTTATTTAGCGGGACTGTTATAGGGAGGTTTTACTGTGAATTTCATTTTTTTACACTCGGTATAAAACGAACCGGATGCGATTCTTTACTGCAATTTTCGTGTACACGAATACAATTTATGGTTTTCGTGACTTATAATAATATCAAATTTTTTTCCGAACGATATACGTAGTGCAAGAAAATTATGTTAGTTTTTATATATATCTGGAGACGACGGCGAACTAATAGGTTCCATAAATTGTCCACGGGATATATTATAGCTGTTCCATTTTCGACTTCCCGTCGTTGATGAACTGCAAAAAACCGCTAACGTCTTCGCTACAGTGAATCCGATGCTAATTTAGTACGGAAAAATAAAATATCGAAAAATAACGATATCGATTATACCGAACGGTTCAGTGTTGGTCGTAATCTATTCGGTGATTTTATATTCTATAGTCTACCGATTAAGTAGAGCAATAGTCTGCTCTTGAGTTTTATTTAGTACGTGTTGTGTTCCATATAAGATAATAAATAGCTCTGATTTAACCGTAATAGATCGGTATCGATTGAATTAAGCAGGTATGAGTTTGAAAAAATTGAATTCGAAAATTTGAACATTCAGACGTAATCGCTTTCCTAACGTCTGTTTGACGGACGATTGTAAAATGATGAAAAAATATAGTAGATATTCTGAAGTGTGTTTTACATTAGTACCATATTTAACCATATTTTAGCCATTGCATGAAAAAGCAGTAAGATAGTAAAACGTTGCCTCAAATTTTGTAGACAAACTTGATAAAAATGTAGTGAATAGAATTGATAAAAAAAAAAAAACCTCTTCCTTGTGTATAGGCCAAACATCATTGAAGTTCACAGTGAACACATAAGTGGGGTTGACCTCACGGACTCTATGATTGGGCGCTATAATAATAATATTCATAAAATAATCATAAGGTCTCAGAAATGATAAATGAAAATATTTTACCATTTGGTTGATATATTTATTGCAAACCCGTGATTGTTGTATAAAAAATGTACAAAAAAAACCAATAAATCTAGCTCAATTTTGAGATAAGATTGCTGTGGAACTGTGTCAATCAACAATAGAAATTAAAAAATTGGCAGAAAATCGAAGAAATCGATTGAAAAACAAATGCTAGAAGAACATGAAAAATAAAAAAAGGACACAAATAACGATAATTCCATCAACCAAAAAACGTTTGGATGGATATCAACATAGAATTCAATTTGAAAAAAATCGATACGTATGTTAAGTTCCAGTATGTAAATTTCAGTCATTCGTTAGGGGCATTAAATACGATATTTTCTGTGCTGAAATACAGAAAGAAAGTGTTTCATTTCATTATACCTAATTTATTATTTTTGTTATTTTTCTATAAATTTCATAGTCGTTAATATGTATTTTTAATTCGATTCTATAACTGTCTTGTCATTAATAAATGTTATATAAACTGTAAAAATATAAGATTAATAAAATATTAATAACGCATGGAAATGCATTATTTATTTTTCAAAATTGTGTCAAATTGAGAACTTAGATTACAAAACTGAATGCTAGTAATATTTTTATTGCATTCTAGGAGCTTTAACCTATTTGTATTGATTTATTTGAATACAAAAATCATGCAATGAAGTTAATTCGTTATTCAGTCTACTTGAGTAATATTTTCACACAGTTATAATCTTATCCACGTGAACACCACTGGAATAAATTCAAAATTATAAATTTACATTTCTAACGTTTTTAAAACTATATGGAGGAAAAAACCAAGAAAATGGAGGTTAAGTGACAGGTGGTCGGATCAACCTATAACGGAGCATGCACTCAGATGAAAATGGCCCTTATCAGGGCCACCAAAAAACATCATTGTGACAATATAAAACGGCATGAAGGCAACTAATACACCGCAGGAATAGTGTCTTTTTACATCGTCGACTGGATAAATAAAAATTTAACCAATGGCAATGTAGCGTCTATGTCTGGGTATATATACCGGTCACTTTTCGGAGCATCGACACTCCGTTCTTCCATTCACTACGATCACCATCAAAAAGACAAGAAGAATAAATGCACCCGACGGCACTTAAGACGATTTCAGAGATTATGACGACAACGGCGGTGAATACGACGAAGGCAATTACGGCGATCTCGAATACGGCTATAGCAACCTCGATGACTGCACGGTGGCTGCGGTAACCACGGTCGTGAAAAACAACGACGAATAAGACAACTACGAATCCAGCTCCAGCGGCATTTACACGTGGGGCTCCGCGATTCGTGGACCTATTCGTCGACACTGAAAACGGCCCTATTCAGGGCCAATATCCGTACAAACCTTTCCGATGCGCTTACACAAATGTCCGCTGGTAAAATGATCACGGTCGATACGCTCGCTCGCTTAAGTCTGCTGTCGACCGTGTATCCAATTCTCTATCGCACCTGATCGGGTCCGATACCGCCCGCCGCGGCCGGTTATTCGAGCCAGCCGCGCGGCCCAGAATAATTTTATTAAATCGATCGTATTGCTTTAATTTAATGTTAAATAAATAACTTGATATTTATTTCGTGTACATTAATATAAATATATGGGTGTCGGTTACCCCGGCGCACCGTTTCAAATCAAAGGACAGGATGACTGGGTGTAATAGACGAGTGTTGTTTTTAAATTTAAAATCAATACACCCTGTCCATTAATTGCACTATCTAATGACGTACGGAACTCGATAAGCCGATCATTGCTAGTTGAAGAAACATTATTATGTTCTTAATACCAAAGAATATTTTGAACGCCAATGCAGAAACCATGCGTGTTCAAACGAATTATAGTTATTGCGTTTTCTTTTTTATAAATTAAATTATTTTTAATAAACTGCAGCCGTAGCTCAGACAACTAACGAACATCGATAACGCTAAAGACACATGTGAAATATCCAATCGCGTTAATAATATTTCTTCAGAAATATGAACAATTGCGGTCACACATGAACAGGCTTGATTACGGTATATTTTCCAAATAATTTAAATCAGTTAACGAAATACCGAGATTTATAAGTATTTATAGTCGATATACATAACTATAAAAACCTAAATTAGTTATCAGGAAGACGGAATAGGTATTTAATCCTCAAAGACATATATCAAAAGTGTTTTGACAATGCTCGATATATTATCCCAACGGATGCCAAATAAAATAAATACAATTCTGCAGTTTAATTCGATTAAACTACATTAGAAGTCGGGTTGTTTGCGCTGCAAACAGCATTTGTGTAATTCACGTTATCATTTTCGTGCGATGCGTTGCGTATCCGCAGCCATCGTCGGCGGCGATGATAAGCCTCCGTGTGTTTATTAGCCGACCGGCCGGGTACGTAATCGCATTGTTTAAGTCGCGCGTAAATGTTCGTTA